AGATTCACCGCGTAATATGTTTTCTTAAAATCATATACTATTTAATTCTCCTCTGTATGGTAGAGTGATATGGATACTTTTCTTGAGAACCGTGTATACAGTTGGCTTTGGTGCTGCCTGAACTCTATAACGGTTTATAAACTTCATCGGATATCCATTTTTCATAAGTGCTTTGGTCAGTAATTGGATGTCTTCACCCATCGCATCTGGTGTACTGATACGGTAGATCCTATTAAACAGACCTCGCTTGTATTGGTTTGGACAAAAACTGTGAAAATTCAGGTATTGTCCTGTCCAATGTATGCTTTCTGTAAACTGACCGTCTTATTGAACCATCTTCTCGTCGACTGTGGAGTATATCTAGGAATGGCAGTTGATTCACATAAGGGACTAACTGTTACTAATTTCATAATCCCTGGTCTATCTTCCCACTATAAACCCAAATGTGTATCAGTTAGCTTTCTTTAGCTATTCAACATACTTTGCCCCCCAACAAAATCTTTGTTGAGTGAATCAGCACCTAATGTGTTCAACAGGAATGACTTAGCACCTGTTCCGGGTATATGAAAAATCCTATTAGCTATATAGTCGCAAAGGAGGTGAGAACTATGCAGAACTATATAAAACATATCTCAAGGTTATGAAGTTATCTTGATATGACTTTGGGCAATAAATTTTGTCCGAAATCTAGTCATTACTACTGTTTCTTCACCGTGTGATGCATCCAATAAATCGACGAAAATGGATAATGTGAATAAGTTTCAACATTTAGATGACAAACAGAAATATGCAAACGTAGTCCACTCATGAAGCCAAGAAAGGTCAGAAGTGCGTATACAACACTAGTATTGTGAACTATTGGATACTATTTTGTTCCCCTTCCTCTAATTCTTCTGTGTATGCTAATTGTTGACGTTATAGTTGCGGTTATGAGAAATCTTTTAATCAGACTTCTGCATCTCTATTTTGGCCCCAAAGGGCATGATACTTCACAACATGCTTTCTATTCAGCTGAAATCGTTGGCAGTGGTGTCGTCCAGCTGGCGACAAAGATGGACGCTGCAAGCCAAAAAGGGCCTAAAAAGGCCTTTATCCTGTTTGTATCGTATAATGAAGTTCGTTATCAAATCAGCTGTCGGGTCCGAGTCTTTTGGCGACATGTCAAGTTACAATGCCTCGTGCGTGAAAATAACACCCAAATTAACTACAATGTAGTATTTGAAACTGGATACTACATTTGACAGTACTATTGTTCCTGAATAGTTTTGGTACAATATTGGTAGACCTGCTACTTGAGAACACCTTTACGTAGATACGACCGGATGTGTAGGCTGCCTTGAATTATCGTGTCAACTTTATTGATGCATATCTCTTCACACCAACATTGTTAATGGCATGGGTTGTGTCCAGCGTGTTTTACCACTTTGAGGACGTAACTAGTTTGATCAAATTCGCTTGACTAAAGTACCACTCATATCGGTTGACAACATGATTGAGAATTCTCAGCAAACTGCTGATAAATGTTCTGCTGACTTATGTACCAAGTTTGGAATTTGTCTTCTGATCTGGTTCTGGCCATTCTTCAACGATGATTGATTTTGTTTGACAACTCTATGCTTACTGTTAAGCTGGTATGTCACCCAAAGCAGTCAATCATTATCTTGTCTTCGGTTAATGTTGACAAAAAAGAGAAGCATTATCATTTTAGCTTTCTGAGATAACCAAGTTTTGACAGACTAGTATTGATATTGGGTGACGACTGGAGGTGAAATGAAAATTGAACCGCTGCCGGATTCCAACCAGCGACCACAGGGTTTCCGACCCGATACTCCACCAATTCAGCTACGAGATCCGACTGCCGACCAGATTTTTGCTTCACTTCAGTCATTACCCAGCATCAATACTAGTCTACCAAACCACGACTATCTCAGATAGTCAAATGATAATCAATATGATGCTCTTCCTTTCTAATTCAGTTACATTTGGATTGGGATGAGAAGTTCTGACTAAGCAGCCAGTGTGAGTACGGTCAAGCTGTAGTAACGCGCCACGAATTCATATACTAGTCGGGCAAAACCTATGGTGATTGAAGTGAAATAAAAATCTAGTCAGCTGTCGGACATAGTAGCTCAGTTGGTAAAGCATCGGGTTTCCGACCCGATGGCATCTGGTTCGCATCCCGCAGCGGTACAAACTTCCATTTCACTTTCAGTCATCACCCAATATCAATTATAGCATTGACAGAAAGAAACTGAGTTGATATCACTCTCTCATTCAGTGTAAGTATCTAGCAGTGGAACTCAGGATATTCGTTTCTTTCCATCAAGTACTCAATAGCATCACGTATGTGTTTCCCACCAAGTGGTATTTTTCTCCCTGAAATGCTAACCCAGAACTCGTCGTTTCCATTTCTAGAGTGTTATTCGCTAGATTATGGAGCCAAGAAAGACACTTTGAGTGACGAGCCTAGTTTGACGTTATAGCCTGGAGTTTCTTGTAGTTGACTGGACCTAACTGACTGTCTACTACTGACATATGGACTTTTGTGCAGGCGCCTTGATAATAACACTGACTTAATTTTGAAAGTAATGACGGATAGCAGCAAGCAGTTGAGTTGTAGACACACGTTCAATTCTATTAAGGGGTAGCTATCGTGAGTCTAGTGAATAATCCTCTGACGTTTGAAGTAGTTTGCTGGGGTTCCAGTTTCAGTAGGGAAAACACCGCTGAATTTAAGGCAGATACCTACAGTTGATTAGTCCTAAACATTCCGAAAGGCGTTTCATAGATCCCAATACTGGTCATTATTCATCATTAATTTCATTGTAGGTTTTCAACTGCTCATTGTATGAAATGAATCGCTAGAAGTTTCGTTTACTGACTGACAAGGGGTTAATTTATCACAGGTTTTATTAAAGGATATCAACCAGGAAAATAATCTCTTCTGCTATTAGCGTGTAGTAATGTCCTAGTCACAAGCCTTTTCACTCTTAACTGACATAGATCTCGCTGATCCCGTTACGGGAGTATTTTGTTGAATCTTGGCAGGTGCCTTTTGAAAGTGTGTAAAGATTCCACCGGTGGTTTCACCAACAGCATTCAAAACTCTGCAGGTTTTTCTATGAAGCATATAAATTACTGTCTACGGAATATAATGTCCCTTCAGAAAATCTTATTGGTATTCATATATGGATCGTACACAGATGAAAACACAGTTACACGATTTCATCTGTGTCTGTATACTTCACTAAAATGTTCACAGTATGTTAGTTTATTCACAAAAGTGTCAAAGACTCTCATTCCCAGTAATTTTCGGTTGAAGGTCATGACAAAAGAAAGTTACGTGACGTCTGTAGGCGTCCAACGTGGAGACGTAAACAAAATGATTACAAGGTAAAAGATAGTTACTTTATAAAGGAATTATCTAAAGTGATCACTTCTCTACGATGGTTATGACACAGAAAGAGGTTATACATACTTCTTTTGAACGCATAATGATGGTTTGAACTTTTGAATGGTTAATGCCTCAGATATGCCCAGATGTCTTAATTTCCTCTTTTAGAGTGGTTTGGTCACACTTTGTACAAATCTTTTGAAGGAATCATTAAAAGTAGCCAAATGTCCTAAGTATTCTGTCACACATCTGAAGATGCATTTCCATTCTCCCCCTGTTAGTCAGTTTGGTTAGTGTTCGCGAACGCGTTGCATAAGCTGCTGCACGGTACGACCGATGTAATTGGCTACATAGGAGCAAGTAAACTGATACACACACACTGATGTGGCTCAATGCTCCAGCTTATCCATAGCGTACTGACGAATGAGTTTCTGACAGTAGAATTTTCTTTTTATAGATCTTGATAGTATGTTTCTAAGGTTAAATGCCTTTTGATGCAAGAATATTTTATTTCAGAATCATCTTGCCTATTTCCCCATTTTAATGTCCTATGGACACTAGGTACCCTTCCTTTGTTATGCAACTTATATTGACCTTCGAGCAGAAATTACTCTAGGATGCTCTATTCTTTTTCACCACACATTCAAGAAAGTATAGCTAAAGAAATGATTTCGTCAAGAAGAACATTTTTTCTTCATTGCAATCGTCTTCTGTCTTTTCTTGTGATCAACTGGGTTTGTTTCTATATTTTCAAACTACTATGTTAGAAATGAAATGACTTGAACATCTGTCATAAATCAACCCACATTATTAGTTGGTGAGTCTAGATCATCAGTTTGATTACAGAATGGTTATCTCAGATGAAGTTTATCAACATTTCATTCCACTAATATGAACGTTAAATATAACCCAGGTGTATTAGCATCAACTGACCATATTATGTGAGACCCAGCGAATTAAAAAGTACTAGACTATAACTGTTATCAAAATATTCTCCATTTTGTCAGATAGTAGTCAGTGTACGTCTCATGTCCCTTGTGCCGAATACCAATTGAAAGCCTCTCGATCAAATTTCGATTGTGGCTAGCATCTTAGTTATGTTATTTAACACTAAAGATCATTATATTTTGGACTGAGCTGTTAGAAGTCAATCTACAGTAAACTCTTAACTCACTTTGGGTGTTTCTTGGTACTTTAAAAAATGACATGTTTGAGTCCTCAAGAAAACATGTATTTCCTTTTGGAGTAGAATCTGCATTATTCTGTGCTGAAACTAAACAACTCACTACTAAGCTATGCAGTCTGCTGACAATATCAGTTGTCAGTATTTCAATGTAGAGTTGTGTTGATTTCAGTATAGCTGATATTGTGTTACTTTAATCTAACTTGTCTCTATCTCACATGATAAACACAATTTTATGCAAAACACCAGACAGTAAAAATGTAGAAGCTCACATTTTCAATTAATTAAAATTTTTATGCGAAAAAAATAAGTACAGTAAGATGAGTACTCAATTGGTTCACTAACTATTTAATAAACATCGTTTTCACTCAAGTACTCGTAATTCCATTTCGTCGGACTGTTTAATTTGCTTCCCCAAAAAAATCAATGAAAGTTGTGTTGAGCAGAACAAGTTTCACACCCAGATGAGTACTGGACAAGGCATTTCGGACACACCTGCGAAAAAAATAAAACAGGATGATTATGTGTGGCAAATAATTGTGAATATTTACCACCTATTTAATGTATGAAGTTGTAGTTGTTCTCCAACTCGTCCACAAATACCACCAGGAGACACAGAATAACCAGTCACCACAAGCACTCCAACAAAAGAAGAAGTGAAGTCCCGAACACCATAAAGTTGCTGAAATCCACAAATGCAGTAGCAACAAATGGAATCCCTCCACAAGCACTGAAAACAGTCACAGAGACAACACCAGACATGCTCACACCACTACTACACAAGGTTCGGATGGAAGGAAGTAAAGGTACCTGCTGATCAACTGTAAGAAGGGCTGCTTTGTTAAACTCAAAAAGAAGGATGAGTGACCTGAGTGTTTTGAAGAACTGGTGAGGAATCATGCTCCACTGCCGAACACCCCAAGCAAAATATTAAGCGACATCATGCTGGAGAGACTAAATGATGCGCTGGATTCAAAATACGATGGGAACAGGCAGGCAGGCAGGCAGCCAGGCTTGCTGGCTGGCTGGCTGGATTCAGGAAGAACAAATCATGTGCAGATCAAATCGCAACAAGACGCAAAGCAACGCAACGCAACACTATGCATCATCATCATAGAACAGAGCATAGAATGGCACTCCACTCTACCTGCACCTCCACCTCACCTCCATCAGTTTTGAGAGGGCATTCGGTCGAGGCATCGACAAAGAAGCAATTTAGTGGCAGCTGCTTCAACACTACTGTTTCAGTGCCACAAACCTGTATCAACCTCATTCGACAGCAGCTACACGCTATACGATGTTACATGCCGAGTGATTCACAATGGAAAGCTGAGTGATGCGTGTGAAGTGAAGAGAGTTGACAGGTAAGACGAGGTTGACTACTATCACCGATCATCTAGGTGATTGTGGTGAAGTGGACTGTATCATGTGAGGAAATGTGAGGGGTGAGAATGGGGCGATACGCTGGGTGGACGGATGAAAGGCCTGCAGAAGATTTGTATTTCGTCAACGATGATTTATGTCTGATGTCTTGTCACACAAACTCGAATATCTACAGGTGAAAACAAACAAGTTGACAGAAGAGGCGAGGCGAGGCGAGGTGAGGTGAGGTGAGGTGATGCAGCGAAGACGGCACTTCCTTCAGATGGACGTAGAGAAGACGGAGGGGATGAAGATACCCAACCAACAACAGCAACAACAACAATAAGCACCAAACACCATGAACGGGAGAAATGGAAAGGAAGTTTTCTCTCTCACCCACCTGCCCAACTATCTACCTACCGACCCACCTATCTACACACGTAGACAGCATCTTTTCGGCCACAAGCAGTGGTGCAGATGACGACGTCAAAGCCAGACAGAATCGGAAAGACAGCAAGATAGGCTTCCCTACATTAATAAGAAATCAGTGTGGAGATCTACTCCACTGCACTGCACTGCACTGCACTCAGCATAAAGCCTGAACGAGATCCGGGTTCTCAACACTCATCTGAGTCAAGTCAGGGCTTCCATGTGATGGTTGAGAGAATTGGCGCACTACGAAAAGCATTTCCAACAAACTGCAGACACACATCAACAGCTGCTGCCTACGCCTGCGCATACAACCACACTCACTCGGTACTGAAGATGGAAATCAGATGGCCAGAATAATAAGAATAAGCAATAAGGAATGCTGGATCGCCTCGCAACCAACCAACCAACCAACGAAGAATCGATCGTCCAACAAATATGCAGAAGGAGAATGTGGAGATGGATTGGATTGGATTGGATTGGACATAGACTGAGGAGACTATTTGGGGACATCACGCGCCACACCGTGACAGGCCTTCGAGTGGAAGTTGGATAGGAAAGGACGAGTTGGTCGTCTGAGTGTAGGGTGACATTGGGGGTGGAGGAGGGGTAGATTGTGTGAAGAAGAAATGAAAGTTGATGGGAGTGATGGATTCAGGTTGAGAAGACTGGAGAGAAGAGAGTGAAATGGTGACGTTCTATTGAAGTCCTATGTTTCACTAGGGACCCAATGGCCAAATGATCTCATTTAATAAAGATGACTATGAACATGATAGTCATTAGCACTAAGTTCCTCATCCTTAAGTGTAATAGCATTACTCTGTAGATAAAGAAAATCCTGTATCTGCAGCATGGTGGAAAACATGAATCGCTGACAAATATCAGTGGTCATGTTATCTTATGTCATTATTGCATCGCTCAGCTAAAGAGATTTCGATTGACCTCGCATTTATTTCTGCATGACTTATAGTTCGGGAATAATCGTATGTTATTGATATCAACTATTATTTACTGTTTCATTTTATGTTCGCGTATGGAATTGCTTATTTCACTTTTATAAATTGTGATGTGTTGTGGTTACGAAATTTGCGTTTTTTTTATATAGAGGAAATACATTTGCGGAAAGTAAACAGAAGCGAATTAATAGACCACCCTAACAACCTTCGAGATAACCAATTAAGTTTCTCCATTTCTGCTGGAAAGGCAGATTTTCATGAAATAGAGAAGTATAGTTGCTTATTTCAGTTGTTGCTGGAAGGCCCTTTAAAGTCATTCGTAAGCAGTAAACTTTGCACTCTGTGGTAAGCGGTTGGGAGGGTCAAATTGTGTAACTCATCCAGTAGGTCGATGAGAGTGACTTTAAAGGTGACCCTAACAACTGCTGAAATCACCAAATATAGATGCCTAAATAGCCATTTTAGCAGCTGATAGAGTGAACTTTAAAGTTACTCTATTGAGCACAGTGACAAGTAATGTGACACAATAAAAGTAAAACCTGAACACTAGTAAGAGGCAATTTCACAACAGCTGGCTTATTAGATATATCACACAGTGATGAAACAGTATTATTGACTAGATTACTTTTCAGACAAAATTTATTGCCCAAAGTCATATCAAGATAACTTCATAACCTTGTGATATGTTTTATATAGATAGTTCTACATAGTTCTCGCCTCTTTCGTGACCATACAGGTAGCAGGATTTTTCATATACCCGGAACAGGTACTGAGTTATTCCACTTGCATGTATTTGGTGTTGGTTAGACGAACAAAGATTTGGTTATGAATCTCTCTCTTCAACTCCGATAGGTTAGTTTTGAGGATTTCCACCTTGTCCCATCCTATTGTATGTTTCTTTATAATTGCATGCATAGCTATGGCCAAGATTTTTTCTAGATCCCTTTTATCTTACTAGGATCGATCAGTTTGCTTTTAAATGCAAAGAGAACAACAGCTTTAATAGAATTGCGTACATTCATTATTTCTCGTCGGCTGTCCACAACATAAAACAATTACACCATCATTTTGTATAAGTTTTTGGATACTTGAATCAGTTTAACAGAAAATTTTCGGGTTAAAGATAACATCGATATCAATTAACTGAAAGCACACGAATTGAGTGAATAAATTTACGGAACTGATATGCATAACTAAGTTTACCTATATATAGAAGAATTAGACAATTATTCTAGATTGGAAGTTGGGTAAGAAAGATGGACAAACTAGAAAAGGTTGCACAAAATGTGTGAAAGGTCACAAGAGCTAATGTGAGTAGAATTCAGATAATTAGGTCAAGGGTGTAAAATAACAGAAAAATAAACCTTCATTGATCGACAATTCTATTCTGCTGCTAAAGGTGTTGTTCTTGTTCAATTTAAATTTATGTCAAAAATCTGTATGGAATTTTGATTTAGTTAGGCTTTTTTGCTTAAATGACCCTAGTTGACGATTTTGACCTACGTATTTAACCCTACAATCGCTGTAGGGAGTTTAATAAACGAAATTATCCTACCTAGTTGAACCATTTGGATCTTTTAATCTGCCAAACATATTTCCAAGTGAGTTTGTAGGTTCAAATGCTGCTCTAATCACATCCTTATTGAAAATCCTACGTAATGTCTTTAAGTTGGTTTCCTTGTATGATAACACTGTCCAGGTTTACCGTTCTTTCTTCATAGTATTGCCACTAATATTAGCACATGGTCACCACTGCTAGTCATATTATCCTAACGACTGCTAAGGCATTCAATAGTTAATTTAGGAGGGTAATTATTGATGATTAAGGTGTCTTTATTGTATCTGATTTCTTGTCTTAAATCTTTTGTCTTACAAGTAAGTTTTCTGTCCCTGTTACTTAGACATTCAACAAAACCAACTTTAACTAGTATGAGGTGAGATGATTCGAATTTCATTTAACGATTCCGCTGACAAGGTTCTCTATAAGTATTAGTGTCTAAACTCATGTCTTGTTTTCATTTCATTCTGAAATCCAACATCGCTAATTCCCCTTCATTATTTTCTAATCCATAGGTGAATTAGATTTCGTCGACTACGGAATTTATATGTATGAAGAAACTATGTATGTCCCCCTTTTTCAACACTGCAAACGTGTCATCTACACATCGAAATTATACTTTAGAAGCAAGACTAGGTGTTTCGACAGCCATCTGTCCCCAACTACCCATAAATATACCAGCGACGATAGGGGATATTGGTTATTCCATAGCAACTCCTTCCGTTTGTGTGCATATTTCATTCTGAAACTAAAAGATTGTGGAAGTTAGGCATAACTGTACTCCTAACATGATCAACTCTCCTGATAACTTGGTTTGTTGGAGAAGCTCATGGTCATCGTTTAGCTCATTTCCAACTGCTTCCAGAACCACGCCAATTAGTATACAAACTAGTCACATCAAAACTAACCATTTCTGATTGTTATGTAAATTCAAGCCATAAGATCAAGTCAGTCCCGATTTAGAACGGTTTCTAATTAAGTTTATTAGGATAGATAACCTGACTTTTGAATTTTAATTATACCATAAACTCTACTGGGACTATTAGTTTTCTGCCTTAAATAAAGTCATTTCGACTCACCTTTAAACAACTTCATTCGGCGTATTTGGTTAACTGTGCTTTTGTAAACCTTATTCATAATAGTGTCCATTTGGTACATGATTTGTTCATATGACCCTATTTCTAAATGTTCCTTGGTTGTTTGAAGGTGTTCAGATTTGTTTAACACTACTGTTGAGTTGCTTTTGTTTGATCTAGCAATTACTATATTGCTGTCATTTTCAAGGTTTATCAAAGTTTCTTTTTCTGCTTTTGGCAAATTTTGTTTCGTTTACTTCTGTCTCTTAGGTGTTAGATCACATTGTACTCTAACCACATCTGCTACTGCCTTATCTGCTAAACTTACTGCCATTTCAATTTTAGGAATATTATCTTCAGATTTCAGTTCACTGACTGATGAAGTCCCTTCTCCACGCCTTTTCTTCTGTTGAGGTTAAATCACTACTTGAGAGATTAGAGAAGAGAATACTAATAACCTAAGGAGGACTTATTGTACTATTAAAATTCATAAGGCGGATTATCTTTTCAGACTCATAAGAAACGTCAGAAACACTCCTACTAACGGTCTACCTTGATATTTAGCCATTGTACTAGATCCACTTAGAAACAGTTCTAAATTGAGACTGACTAACTCTTATAGCCTGAAGTATGGATTAAGTGATATGTATTTAAATGACAATGAAAAAAATGGTTAGTTTTGATGTAACTAGGTTGTATACCAGCATACGGATTGGCATGACTCTGGAAGCAGTTAGAAATGAACTCAATAATGATGATGAGTTTCTGTTAAGAACCAATCATGTTAGGAGTACAGCTATACCTGATTCCGACAAACTTTTGGCGACGATGGAACAGTTATAATCCTTATTTACATCATCTTTTTGTCTGCCAGTATGGGCCTCATAACTCTTAACCTCTTCATCTGATGTTTGAAACTTTCAGATTTAATCAAATTGAAATCTTGTCAAGCGAATTCATGACTGTTCTGAAACTACAAGTTGGTATACATCATAGACTGACATCAGTTAGAGAAACATTGGAAACCCCGAGAGGAATAAACAGCTGTTTCGTCATAGTATGGGACTCAGCAATGCGCACCCATAACCCCGCTAGGGATCGAGCCTAGAAGCTTCAGGTCCGGTAATCAGCAAGTTGCTAATGAGTCACTGGGTCCTAAAACTTGAAAATGAGTATAAGTCTTCACTTAATTACTTCTTACCTTTTTGAGCATACTAATAACACCTTAGTAACTATGGATTATTGTACGTTATAAACAACTTTTCCCAATTCAACTCCATTATATGAATGTTTTTAGTTACCTTGTAGTGCAAAAAAACTTCTTTGACTGTTGTAAGTTGAATTTGAGACATATTTTTGTTTTGGTTAACTGGATGATTATCACAAATATTGACAATATTGTGACTACTTTTAATTTCATTCACTTGATTACCGACTTCTTGAAATGATGTTTCATTCAACAGATGAGATGAGAATATTTTACTAGTGAATTCCAGAGATGGAACCATATTCTGTGGTATAGTTATGGTATGTTGAACAGAAATATTTCCATCAGTAAGTAATGGTACACGTCTTTCGATAAATATTTTCTTACCTATAGACGATACAAAATATAAAGGTAAGTGAATAAAATGAAAAAGGGGAAACAATAAAAATATGGAAGTGGCAAAATCATCTATTCATGACTTGCTCGGCATTACAAAAGTCTCTTAATAGGTACATACATCCTTAGTTCCCTTTGATAATAATCTGATGCTCTCAACTGACTTGTTTTCATATAGCCTTTCCAAAATTATGGTGGAAAGTCATGACCTGTGGGTTTTTAAACAAGTCACGGGCTATGATAAAGAGTCAATAATGCCATTCAATGATGGTCGTACTGTATCGTGAATCGATCAAAGTTGGAAAATGTAAGCCATTGGAGTTTTGACCTAGTGATCTAATGCTAAATTGTGTGTCTATCTGTCTTTTGACGATCCTTGAATCGACACCTCATGAGGTCATAAATATGCAGTGCTGAAGTGTACCAAAGTGAGACGAAGCAACTATTCATTGCAGTTGGGATTTCAAACGTTCTCCAACTGATTCCACTACATGACTAAGACGATTTAGAAGCAGTCAAAGTATAACTACGAAATGTTCACAGCTAAGTCAATTTCATGCTTGTTTATTTTCATTTTAATAACTAAATATTCTGAGTGTTATGACCAATTATGAAAAAACACTGATAAGAGATAGAAAAGTAGTTTGTTCTCAGAGCTGTATTCTTCGACAGATAAACTTTTGACCTTTTGATTAGCCAGATACTTAAGAGTTAGATAATTTGAAGTAAATGGCCAATGATAAAAATGATTCTCTCGGTTTGCTTAACTCAGAATTTCCATTATTATTATTTGTCCCTTGGGTTCCTAGTGAAACATAGGACTTCAATAGCACGTCATCATTTCATTCTCTTCTCTCCAGTCTTCTCAACCTGAATCCACCACTTCCCATCAACTTTCATTTCTTCTTCACAAAATCTCTCCATCAATGTCAACCTCCACTCAGACGACCAACTCGTCCATTCCCATTCAAATTCCACCCGATGGCCTGTCACGGTGTGGCGCGTGGTGTCCCCAAACAGTCTTCTCAGTCTATGTCCAGTCCAATCCAATCCAATCCACCTCCACATTCTCCTTCTGCATATTTGTTGGACGATCGATTCTTGGTTGGTTGGTTGGTTGGTTGGCTGGTTGCGAGGCGATCCAGCATTCCTTATTGCTTATTCTTATTATTCTGGCCATCTGATTTCCATCTTCAGTACCGAGTGAGTGTGGTTGTATGCGCAGGCGTAGGCAGCAGCTGTTGATGTGTGTCTGCAGTTTGTTGGAAATGCTTTTCGTAGTGCACCAATTCTCTCAACCATCACATGGAAGCCCTGACTTGACTCAGATGAGTGTTGAGAACCCGGATCTCGTTCAGGTTTTATGCTGAGTGCAGTGCAGTGCAATGCAATGCAGTACAGTGCAGTGCAGTGGAGTAGATCTCCACCTTGATTTCATATTAATGTAGGGAAGCCTATCTTGCTGTCTTTCCGATCCTGTCTGGTTTTGACGTCGTCATCTGTACCACCGCTTGTAGTTGAAAGGATTCTGCGTTGCCTATATAGGTGAGAGAGATAACTCCGTTTCGATTTCTCCCGTTCATGGTGATTGGTGCTTGTTGTTGTTTGTGCTGTTGTTGGTTGGGTATTTTCATTGCCTCTGTCTTCTCTACGTTCACCTGAAGGCAGTGTCATCGCTGCATCTTCTCATCTCGCCTCTTCTGTCAACTTGTTAGTTTTTGCCTGTAGATATTCGAGTTTGTGTGACAAGACATTAGACATAAATCATCATTGGCGAATACAAATTTTCTGTAGTCTTTTCATCGGTCCAGCCCGTGTGTGTGCCCATCTAGAGTTTCTAGTATCATATGTATGTTTAGCTCTATTTCACTAGCACATTTTTATCATGAACCTTAGCCAATAAGTTTTTTTTCCATTCACTGAAGTAAGTGCTGTTGAGATGTTAAATACTCCATTCTATCCACCTTTCTAACTTCTCAACAAATACATCTGTCACATTGAAATCTCTGACCGATGATAAATTGGACAACAATATTGATGTTAAACGTTTTCTTGATATATGTACAAGACTATCACTTCATAAATCACTTTTTCTTCTAAGACGTAAGCAATCTGATGGCTTCTATGGTTGAGACATCCAATAGTACGTTTTTCTTTTATTAATTTCAGATATAGATAATTTTGGTTCTTGGTTCTGCTTCGTCATTATTTTATTTGTAGTAGAGTTACTGAATAAGATAATAAATTACTAATGGAATGAGAACATCTTATTTACTACACGAAGTAACTTAACTGTAGTTGCGAACAGACTGGCTTATGTCACACAAATCATGATTAAACTAAACAGGAAGACGATATTTGTAAGATTCAGAAACGTTTCACTCATGTCTATGTAGTGTCAAACTGCAACTGAACTCCATATCTCCAGGATTCCGGAATATGCTATGTGAGAAGAAAATGAAGAACTTTATTGAATTGTCGTCGACAAACATGGTAGCTGTTACTCACTTCAGAAAGAACTCAATAAATTCAAAGCCAATTCAATGATTTTTACCCATCATTTACATTTAGCTGTACATAAAAATACTTGCATCAGTTTACATATTACATTTCTTGTCCTTAGAGCATTTGAGAGACTGAAAATATTAAAACTTTAAAATATGGCTTAAACAACTAATCTTGTAGTGTGATTTATGTGTGTGATTTGAAGCCATTCTAGATGGTGAGTTAGCATACCAGCCTGAGAAATCGAATCATCCAAGTTAGCATGCATATTGATGAAGCATTTTCAACAGGATTCAGATTATTCCAAATAAACATATAAACAAAAACTCCTTATAAAATCATGAAACGCATTTTCAATTCCAGTCAAACATACAAATATCAGTCAACGTGTTAACAATTACTGACTATTTAATGTTTAAGGGATACTTTCTAGCAAGTATTGAATAAACTGATACATTTTCAAAATTTCCATATAAGTTATTTTTTAGATATGTTTAACAGGGAAACAGTAACATTTGCCCTATTTCTAAATTCTTTATGAAATGAAAATTGTATTGTAAAGCATGGATAGAAACATCGGTTATTCTCTATTGGCGTCCACATGTCTTTTTTTGTTCAAAACATAATCAAATGCTGTGACCTCTCTTTCAAAGCTTTATATCAAGTTTTCCTCTTGAATATGGTCAGCGATGATTGTGAAACTATTCTTATATCTAAGATAGGTCAGAATAATGTATTTTAAAATTTAAGAGGAATGTTTACGGTTCAGTGTTTAGATGTTCGGAGTGAATTGTTCTCTGAGATAGGGTTTTAGATGGTAAAAATTCCGATGTTATGCTAGTTATCTTCATCAGCGAGTTAGAACTTCACAAGAAAGTACAGTAATTGATTGTACATAGATATCCAATGCATACTACATTTACTTGGGTCTAACCTGATTGGTCTGTTGATGAATGTGTGGGCGTATGTTAAATATGATTGGTTGACTTCTTTTGTTTGCTTGCAGTACGTTGAGGTCACTTTGTTGTGACTGGTTGGTTTTTGTGTACGGATGAGCTGACAAGGAATGGAAGGAGGATACTCTATACAGATTGGTTGGTTTACCTCAAACGAAGGTTTTCTCCGCCATTTCTGACTGGTTATTTTTCCACTAGACAATGGACATAGTTTTCTATTGATTAGTTAGGTGGATGAATTTGGTTAAGTATATGTGAGTTACTTTGATCTAACTGATTTATGGTCTCCTCTTTGGTGCTGTCGGAAGTACTTAGTACTTGGGTTGACTGATTTCTAATCGAATTACATCATGATTTTCATAAGAATACTAAGCTTATATTCCCTATGATAAACCAGTCAAAATTCTGAAACATAAAAACTTGTTTGCAGTTTTTAAACGTCGATTCAGAGCATTCAAATCACCATTTATCAGACTGATAAAATGTATGCGAAAACTTCTCTTGTGTGTGAATTATGATGATAGACAGCAAAATAACAATGGATGCATAGAATGAAAACAAAAAATATGCACCAGCGTTTATGTCAACTTACATGGGCTACAAAGAGTTAGGAGGAACTTATTGGAGCACAACAAATTCACAGTAATCGAAGATACAAGAAGAACCAAAATAATCATGATTATGAATTTTGATTCGCCTAAAAATTGACATTTTAGAAATAAGAATTAAGCAGAGAAAATATTTAAGATTTCGGTTAAAGATGTGAAATAAATAAATATGAGGCATGACATCAAATCAAATGTTGGCTAACTACTCAGTCCTTGGCGATAGATATCACCATAGTGTCCTGCTCGACACTACAATGGGCGTCAAAACACAGAGTATGGAAACTATATGAATTAAACTGATGACTGACTTGAATGTATGTAAGCTACTCATTACAGATCACATTTTGTAATTCGAATATTTTCATTTCCATAGAAAACCATGGTGATATTTCGCACTACAGACTGTGCATTTTGCAAACACATGATTTCATTCTAGCCATGACCAGACCGGATTTCGGTCCCTTTGAACAATGCCGGTCTCATTCCAAGTAAACGCTTTATGAGCTCAACTCCAAACAAGCGAAACAGCCACCCAGCGTTTAGATCACTTTGATTTAGTGAAAGAGTACTACTGATAGGCGTAAGCGGTCTACAACTACTCAGTAGGTTGGTAGTATATATTTGTCATTTTGAAGTATCAGTAAACTACTAATTGTTAGAAGTTTTGTGAACTGAGCTTTATGTTGAGATATTTACGCATAGTATATGACATTGAAAGTCTGCGGTAATATTGAAAGTAAGGGGCAATGTAATGTATGAATCAACCTTAGGAGTTACATACTAGTAGTAGTATCTGTTAACCAACTCGGTCAGAAACTTAGTAGTTTTGTATAAGTCAGAGAAATGCTACTGATCACTGCTTACATAAAAGCTGATACATGCTGATATATAGAGGGCAAAAGTATATAAAGCTTGATAAAGGAACTGAGTTTGAAAGGTAATGACAAAGCAAAGCAAATAGACAGGTGAACTAGTATTCATGTGTCAATGACCAATCCAACTATAAGGATATGTCAAGCAACATGATCAGTGACTCAGTCAAATCTTGGAAAGATATCAAACCTTCCTAATTTCACTTGTTCTAGTAGATTGAAAAAATATTGAGACGATTATCTACAGGGAATTTGAGACTAAAGAGTCATTGTTCAGTTACTAGACTAATAATCCACCACATAATGGACAAAATGATATTAATTAACATATGAGAAGACTTCAGAATCGTTAACAGATAGAAGACTTTAAGCATACTGCGGAAAGGAATGAAAAGGATATCTTTTGTTTAGACACAACGTTTTCATGCATTAAAATGCCAAATCTCTATATGAAGTCATTTTGATGATATTACCATTCAGCGGAATGATTTATCAGGTGGATATAAATTTAATGAGGAGGTATTGATAATGTATTGTCTACCAAACATAAAGATTCTAAGTTCTACTCAATGGTAGGTGTGGTTGTTACAATATCTATGAATTCCTTAAACTGAATCAAACAGTTGTTCAGTATTCTGAGTTTTTGATTCGGTTAACTATCTGATATCAATTAATGATGAAGAATCATTTATAAATGTACATTTGAAGAGATTAGGATACTGATTTTTGAAAAAACTTGTCGTTTAATCTACTTTTCAATATTCTATTAGTTATTTATCCATAAACTATGATCGAACTGTGTGTTGCGGTTTCCAATCTTTCGATAGACATGAGTTTTATTTAGGTTGAAGATACATCTTGGTGATGAGCATGAACAAGTAAGAAGCCAAGAACCAGGAGCTTCTTGCCAATTGCCTCTAACTAACCAACATAATAACTTATTATATACTCTCACAAATGCGTGTATCCGTATACTTGCAGATGGTATGCATGAAATAAATACTCAGCATGCAAAATATGTCTGTTTTAGTTTTGCACAGTGTATATATTAGTACAGGACACAATTCCGCCTGCTATCCTATTTGCATCATTCAAACTCATGGTTCGATTTCGAAAATCACCCTGACTTCCTCTGACACCGGTTTCCCTCAGAGGAACATCTTAATCAAAGTTTCTATTGTTTCAGGATCAAAAAAATTCATTTCATTTCGTGTTCATCTCTTTTGTCATCATGATAAGTGTAACTTTGTTTAAATATAGCTTATTCAATCGGCACCTTGTCTAATTAACTAGTCCACTAGTTACTAGCCGGTCTTAAGCCCGGGTAAAGAGAGAAGGTTGGGTTTAGGGCCAGCAACCCTAACCCGGAAAACCAATCAAATCGCTAAACAAACTTCTAAGCACAAAGAAAATATAAAAAATGAAAAAAAACTTATTCCTCAATGGAATCGGGGAGAGGAAATGACGCCAGTTGGTGAAAGCCTTCAGGAAGCCGATCGGCCGATGTGTCTTCCCCCGATGAGAGCAAAAACAAAGATGGGGACATGGATATCCGCACCATGTATGAACCAACGAAGGCTGCTCACATTGCAAAAAGATGAGGAGGTATGGCATGGAAGTGCTGGAACCTGCAAAACCAGATGGAATGGAAGTGGACTCTCCAAACTCTTAACTGGAGAGTCAATAATCTACTCCGGGCACCCAGATTGCAATGTAGGCGTGCTCCAGAAGTCTTATGTTTCACTAGGAACCCAAGGGAAAAAAGTATTCAATCAGAGAAGAGGAGAGCGTTGCGCAGGCAGAGTTTAGAAGTTTTCAGATTTTTGGTTTCATTCATTTATGCTAGGAAATAACTATGGAAAACAAAACCCTTAATAACTTTTATCTAGAATATAGTTATCCTCAATAAGTCTGTCGTCACTGACAGTGTCCCTACCCATGAAATTTGAGATGTGAAGAGATTGTTTCCCACTGACTTTGAAAGTTTTATTGAAGGTTTTATTTCATTCGTTATATATTTCTATGAGATATAAAGGTGTTTTAATCCACTAATCTGACTATATTGATATCGTTTTTCATTACATTTCACTCTGGCAACAAGATTTTGTATTTATGTCAGTTTAGGTGTATAGTATAATCTATTCATTTCTATCCTAAAGGGGAAACATTCCTCTAATGACATGACTGATAGTATTTCAGTAAATGTTGATTCAAGAATCCCATTCCCATCTTAAACAAGCTATTTGATATCATTATTGTTTGAATCGAAGTGATTCATTTCGAACTATTTATTGAGTGTTTAGATTTGATTTTGACAAACTGATATTGAATAACTAACAATTGTATCACCACTTCTTTATTCTGTACTTTCTTAGTCATCCTCATTCATATGTGGGGGATTATGGTGGAAATCCGGCAAGTTGAAAGGATTCCAGAATTTTGTCTGACTGTTAGTAATTAATTTGTTGAATAATCTCTGAAGTTTCCTTCTAATCTTATCAGGCCCACATACATTTCAATGCATACACCATCCAACTGTGTAAATTGCACTTTAAAACTGTTAATGTCCCTACCTATTTAACTGTTCTCTGTCTCCTTCTCTTTGATTAATCATTTATTCGTACCTACTAACATTATCCTGATCCTCAGAACATTCAGTGACTGAACGTTGTATCTGTTGTAACTTGTACTGTACTGTTGACTGTTATTTTGGGCAAAATTAATCTGTCTTTGTTGGGGATATAGGCTGGTGTGTAGATATTACTTGAAGTTTCATTATGATGCCAAAAGCATCAACTAATTTGGTTCAAAATAAAAATCGTCGACAAAATACAAGTAACATAGTTAGCAACTGATGCCCATTGTGAAGGAGTTGGTTATCATGGATAATCCTCTGTGTTTGGAGTGATGGGTTCTGGGTTCAAGTTTCAGTTGAAAAACTACTATTAAATGGGATATATGTATATCTAGCTGACAAGTCTCAAGTAAGACCTAACTTATGTCATGGATCCGACTGTTAGCTATCATCATCAGACAAATGAATACAGTATATTTCTGACTATCGACAAAAATTCATGTGATCTTTTTTCTGTCAACCTATTCCAGACCACTCATATCTACGTGTCAAATTTAACTGATTAAGAGGTGGATTGATCTATCAAAAATATATTTTCACCACTATTCATCGTAGTCAGCTTCCAAAAGGTTGATTTCAGAGCTTTCATCAATTCAAAAAAATGACATCGCTTAAAACAAACTGTAACATTGACCATTAACCTGTTTTATGCAGTTATCGCTTTCATTGATAAAGTGGAAAATTTAAACAGAAAAAAGACGAAACGATCGAAATATGACATTAAAAGTTAATTTCCAAAACAAACAAGAGGTTGAAGGAAAATGTAGACTTATCTTCAATTACATTCTTAATACTAATAGAGTAGATCTACTTCTTCAAGTCTACTTGATGCGAATAGAAATACCTGATATTGAATGAGCTAAGTGTCAGGTATTTGGATTCCAGGAGAATCCGTTTCTTCTTTTTAGCCAATTTCTATCATTCTCTTTAGTGGATTAGTTCAGCTAATAACAACTGAAATAATAATATTCTCATGATTCCATCTTGTAGTACCGTAAATTTAGTCGGAAGATTCTTAAATCTAAGCACCTATGGCATACACAAAATATATGGTAGAAGAAAGCTTTGCAAATTCCGACTGTTCTTACCATTCTTAAAGTAGTGCAAAATTTGCTAAGATTTAGAGTTGAAACAGCAAAAGATGAGAACTTTCTCTGTGAACGGGAAACTGAAGTGATAAGTAAGCATTAGAAGTTAGCTGTTGAACTTTGGAAAACAATAAAGAAAAGCATTTTGATCTACAAACTGGATATAAAGAACTGAGAAATAGCTTTTAAAGTTTACTAGTTAAGGATCAGATCATAAAATATCTGCAGCACTTTTCATCATCTTGAAGTTAAATATTGGGGTTGAGAAAGTCAGAGCTTTGGTTTCTCATTAAAATGAACACTTCAATAAGGAAACACATTAGCTGTATGTTCTTCATCTCCGATTACTTATACTTCAGGCAATACAAAGTATGTAGAAAATCCTAATGAATTAATAATTAGCACAAAATGATCGTTTAGATCTCAATTTCTTGTCATTTTGACAAATGTATACTGAAATAATTAATATACGGGAAATATTTTGTTAGTTCGAATGTAAGACGGAAAGCTGAGGATCGGTCAATGAATCGTTAAAGGAATGTATAGATTTTCTATTGTATTACCTACATATCATAAGGTCTATTTAATACAACAGCAAACAACATGTTAAATGAACTTAAACTGAGCAGTACAACTTCTAAAAGATGTTTATATACACATTTAAAAAAACACAGAATAGTAGTGGAAGCTAGTTGGTATAAGGTGAATAAAAAAATGTAACTGATAGACAATAACTGATTATCACGTACTTTGAAAGAAAGAAAGGAGTAATTTGGATCTCTTTCTTCTCCTAATGATATCACTTGATAAGTTGCAATCATCATTCCTTTTGATTAAATCATATTCACGATTTTGATTTAATATAGATACAGGAGATAATGATATAAGTGGATTTCTATCCCTGTTAATTGATCTATGAGTAAATTGAGTAAAATTTTTTAATTTCATGTGTAATTTAGCTTTAATGGCTTGATGTTTACTTGTTTTACCCGCATGAATACAATACCATGAGCCTGTAATATTCTTGTCATATTTATTAATATAAAATGTCAATGTTTTAGAATATATTGACTGTTGAACATTATATAAAGTTGTTTGATTAGATTTGACTATTATTTTAGTTGATTCAAAACAATTTATCTGTTGCATACTTGGTATATTTTTGCATTCTGTTAACTGACAAATTCGTTTACAATTTTCAAAACAACGTATTTCCATTAATGGACATATTAGATGAATACTGTGATGTTGATAAACTGATTCCACCTGACATATAAGTTTTATGTACTGTGTTCTACTATAATTTTCATCATTATTATCATTATCATCTTCTGTATAAATACGAATATGATTTAATGGTTGATGGAGGGAATTTCCTTTTCCATGATTTATGCTTCTTTCATCAGGATTCTTAGTGAATTTCAATTCAGTTAAGGAAGGTAGTTTAGTTTTATTCTTCAAATGTAGGTATAATAGGGGTAATAATTCGTCATCATTCAGTGAATTATCAATAATTGTCAAAGTGACATCTATGTAATAATGAATATGAGAGAAAATATCAGTATACTACTATAACTTTTATTAAAAATATAGATGGCTACACAAAATGCTGAATTGATTCAGAAATTTGTCGAGGATGAAACTTATCTCAAATTAGTTTTTACCTTAAGGAATTGCTGAAAATCTTTAATAAGTGATGTCAGTCTACGATGAATAACAACTTGAAATAATTCCAAATCTCCACAACTCCCTCAAAATTTAATTGAACTGGCGCTCATTGGTGACTAGCTTCGAGAAGTATTCCCGAAGTTCCAATGACAAGTCTTGACCGGTGGAGTCAAAGCCTGATGGCCATGAGGACAAATACTCAGCGATGACATTGGGTGGCGGTTGCGCTATATCGTGAGCTAACAGAAGTTGGAAATATGGAGCATTGGATTCTGACCCAGTGGCTAGCTCAATGGTAACGCGCTGGCCGCGGAACCTGAAGGTCGCGGGTTCGATCCCTGCTGGTGGGGTCGTGGGTGCGCACTGCTGAGGAGTCCCATACTAGGACGAAACAGCTGTCCAGTGCTCCCAGGTTTCCTTTGTTCCTCCAACTGATGTCAGTCAGTCTACGATGAATAACAACTTGAAATAAGTGAATAGCTAATTTGTCTACAATTTAGTTGCCTCCTCTTTGCTCAGCGGTGACTTCATGAAGAGCTGAGACCCGGAACCTTAGGTCTTATGACGAGCGCAGAACCATTCAGTTACAGAGTTGGAATCCTGTGGTTACCTAATCTCTTATTCTCTCGATTGATGACATTAAGCGACTTTCATCTAATGACTTCGATGGTCATCTTCTCTACTCCTAACTAGACTGACCCTACGTCTCACGAATACTCATTCGAACTTTAGGAAGTCTATGTCGAAGAAAGTCAATAATAAGCACTGGGAAGTATTTTAATTGTTGGTTAGTGGGGATTTATCGAAGAGACATCAGGTGGATAACTACTGAGAACCTTCACACTGCATACGAGTCTCATACTGGGACGAAACAGTTGCCCAATGATTCTAGTGATCCTCTGTTTCAAACCAGAAAAATTCCACTCGAGTGAAAATACTGATATAACATTTGCTGGAAAGTCATTCATAGTCAGACGAAAGATCTTCCATTCTAATATCACCTACATTCTCTTGGAAAAGCTACTTAGTGATGTGCCGCTCAAATACTGTGGTACAGCAACGGGTTAGATGACTCCGCTAGTCATTTAGAAATCTTCTGCTGAAACCATAGGTTCACAGCTTATGATAGATAAGTTCTACTAATTATCTTCATGTAAAGGAAATGTTTCCACAAAACTGAGAGGACGGAAGCGAATGCCTAGCACTACCACTAAAATGATGGATACGGTGGGTTTATTCATGAGGTTTGTAAAATTATAACTCCACACAAATGGCCAAATAGGCTCCACGATTCAGAATGGCGTACAAAACTATCGCTGACACTAGCAACTGTGTGAATTCAGTACTTCACGTCACTCCCTTGATTTATGGATCAAAATTCAAGTGAAAGGTTTCGTACATGGTCTCCTAAGACAAGTTTCTGATTCACTTTGGATATCTGGGATATATCACAGACAAAATGCATCAAATTTTCTTGCGATAAGCTAAATTCATTGCGAAATGACATTTCTGATCCTACTGCATATTTCTTGGTGCCAATGTTGTACTTAATTCGTTCTAAATAACAATAACGGTAATAGTTGCTAATTTGTGAGGATTTCGAAATTACTGAGAAAATGAAATATGATTTCATTATTTCTCTCAGTGATTCATTACCTGATATTAAGTTTTTGTCGACATGTATTTTACGGGATCAAACTATGGTACTTTAATGATACTGAAATCCTAAATGTTGATCGGATGGGCATTCGTCATAAGATAAGGCGAATAATCGATTCTCACTGCTGAGCCTAATTTCAAATTAATTGGTTTATTTGATACAGCACGCTATGACGTTGTATTATTTACTGGTTTCTATGTCTAGTGGTCAGATTTTAAGCATAAGAATAGCTGATCAACCATTTCTTTGACCGGTAAGAACCATTGATTCATTAAACTAAACTTGTCAGAGCATGCCTTGGTTCACCGAACTCCCTAGAAAACTGAAAGAGACATACTCTCTCAATCTACTTGACTATGTAATTCCGCAGTGCCCACGTTTTACACCTATACTACGTGATCATGCTTGAAATATGCATGGTGTTAGTTGAGATATTCCCCGAAATTACTTCTGAAATCTACAATTCATTTTTGGGGTTATGTAGTCATTATTCTGTTAGTTTAACCAACCATTATCGTCTCTTCTAACCAAGTTGTAACATTCTTGTCATTGTTTTCTTCATCTCAGTATTTTAAAAGTCCTATATTTTATTTTCTATACCACCTCATCATACGACGTCTTCATAGAGGCTACGCATACTCTGTTAATCAATCCTATTACAACTACTACTCCCATCTTTATTTCTTCTTTACTGGTGAATTTCAATAACTTAAAGAAAATCTTTCGGAGATAATGGTGCTTCAGTGATGTTTCTTGAATATTTTCCGGCTTTTCATTTAGATATTCTAACCTACTGAATGTCAGGCGTATTTCTGAAAAAGGGTAACTAAACTTACCCTCAGAAAAATGATATAAATCGATCTATGATTCAGTTAACTATTGTAACTGACCACATCAGAGTTTCGCTGAACGCAATCATCTTAACTTTCTTCTTACTTTCGTATCATTTACAGTTGTGAACAAACATCTTAACTCATGTTAACATGAGACAGGAGCTGTTTTATTAGATGACCAAAATTCTGTTCACTCGAAGGTGTCTGTGTCGGTCGTCATACAAGAGCAGGAGAAAGTACATAAGATTTTATACGCGTACTACCAAATATTACACCTTTAACATACCTTATTTAGCTGGTATCCTGTACAATGAAGAAGCTGTTAGAAATGAACTAGCTAATCAACTTTTATTTTTGAAAGCAAACTAATTGAGGAGTACACAGCATGCTATTCTTCACATATTATGAATCTAATTCTTAATGCGATTGTTTAAGTTGAAGTTTGCATTTTCAAGAAAGTTGTAGATCCAGTAAATTTTCTTATTTTTTATGCATAATTTCAAGTTATTTCTGTCCAGTTAATGATTTATGACATGTTGAAAATTCTATACAGTATTCACGAAATATTTTTCACAATAAAGCCATTATTATTATTCTCTCAAATGACTTGTGAATATTGCGTAAAAAAATGTATCCACATCAATAGGCATGGATCTTTAGAAAGTGACTGATAGTCAATTGACAGTATCAGACAATCAGTGTCATTCACTATGATATTTATGATAGGAAATTATGATAAGATATTAGCACTTACTAGTAGTCGCAGTCAATGTATTTGTTCAAGATATTTAAATCAATCTGATCACACATGTAGGCATTATATTATTAGCAGGAAAATGAATATCATTCAAATAAGACGACTATACTGAAGGTCAAGGTCAATAAAGCATTAAATAAAACTCAATAGTACAATAACCTTGGATTGGAAACTAAATTTACCATAGTAGGTTTAATATGATAACTAATTGTTTTGAAAGATATAAAAGTTGCTTAAATCTTTTAATGGTTAATGTCTTACTAATCCTTAAAATACATTTTCAACATGTTTGTATATCCACTTTGCACCCCATTTCAATAGTAAGCTTAGCTCTATATTAGATTTGCTTATTTGATATAGAAGACTATGATATTGCTCATGTTTACATCAAAGTAATCATATGATGCTCCAACTTTCTTTATATGGTTTATTCTTTTATTTTAATAATAGTAAAATTCTCCAGATATCTACAACATGTGTGATTTTAGAATTGTCACCCTATCCCATTCACTCTTCAGTGTGATTATGGGTCAGTGAATGAAGAGTGATAGCTGAGTTCTTCTCTGAACTATTTATCTTAGTAGAGTTTATCATTCTACGTTTCGCTAAGTTTTTATGCTCTGTTATTCTGATTGGCATCAAGTGGCTGCTTCGACCCATATACTTGACCTCAGAACCATCACGTGGTATTTTTATAGATTGATTTATTTCACTTAACTGACTCGATTGGATCTTCTAGCCTACAAAATTTGTGGTTTGATTATCACCCTAATCCCAGCATTCTTAAGAATTCTTCGCAAAACTTCTGATGTACTTCTTCTAATACAGCAACACTACGGAGGATTTGAATCCCCCTCTAAAGCATGTCGCAGTTATCACTAATATTACCACTCCTTCCCTTATCAGTTCATATAACCCTTTTACTGAATTTCGGAGGGTAGTTATTAAGTAGTAGTTTCCCTTTAGTGTGTTTACTTTCCTTGTTTAGGTTTTGTGACTTACTAGTTAAACGCCTAACCCGATTACTTAGATATTTTATCAACCTTATCCTGACAGATATGGGGTGAGATTATGTGAAATTCTAATATTTATTGGAATGTGTTAGCAAACTATAAGCATCGGTAACCAAGTTTCTATCTTCTCTCCTCTTGATTTTGCAATCCGACATAGCTAATTAGATTTCATCGATTATCGAGTTGATATGTATGAAAAAGTTCCGAATATGTTCCCATTTCAACACAGTAAATATATCATCTACACGTAACCACCATAATCCAGTATATTACACTCTTCCACTGTCTGGGGCATCTAGTAAACCAAGTAAAATGGAATTACATTGTATCACTGTGATCAAGTTGTACTCTTCGACTGCTTCTCCTATATGTTCATTTATTTTTCTTCCGATTTGAAAACTGTGAAAGTTAAATACAATCGTGTCGCTAATATAATTTCCTCTGTTATTTAGTCTATGGTCAGCGATAAGTTCATTTCTGACTGCCTCATGCGATATATTGACTGGTATATTTGTGTAGAGGCTCTTCACATCAAAACTGAGCATCTTTCCTTCCTGCTTCGGTTGTATGTTAATTAGACTGTTTCAATTCAGATGAA